CTCTAGATCATAAAACAGCATTATTTATCTCAAGAGAAAGGGGGAAAGACAGGGAATGTACATTTCCACACTTGTCACGCATTTTTTCTAAGTGGCAAGCTCAGGTTTAGGTGAGAACCTCATGTTAATTTTCATTACTGCTGTCATATGCCTTTGAAGAATCTTTTCATTCTTTCACTCCATGAACATTTCTATCATTTCAATAGCAGATAACAGGGGGACTATAAGACTAAGCAAACAAGAAAGCTAAAGATAAGTCTGTGAAGAAGGTATATTTTTCATAGTATACTTAAGCAAGATTTTTATCCTCTCCCTCTCCATTGCAATTTTTTTTAACTGGTCCTGAAAGTCTATTATTTCCACACATTGGTGAAGTGCAAGAAAGGAAGAAAGGGTCTTTGGCATGGCTTTGATTTGATAGATACACAATTTGACTAGGGCTCCAGAGAATTCTTTTCCTCCAGTTAATACTAGCTTTATGAAGTCATCTGAACCAACAGTATAAAACAGAGTGTTGCATTTTTAAGTGCCTACAGTCAACAAGGAAGAGTGAGGCAGCTTGAGCATAGAGCAGGAGTCTGTGAGAAGCTGAAGAGTGCATGACCGTCTGCAAAATTCAAGCCCAAGGGTACCAGGTCTTCCAATTTTTAAAGGAAGGTAGATTTTTATTTAGTAACTAAAATGACCTAAGTGTTAATTATGGAACAACCATTTTTAAAAACTTGAAACATTTTGCTGATCAAACAAAAAAAAATGCACCTTTAAGTTTGAGGACTGCTGAGCTATAATCTCCGTGACTAAGGAACTTCTTGAAATTAGACGTTTCCTGCTTCCTCTTTCTTTCCTTATAGCCCCTAGGAGAGTGAGCATTTACAGGCACACTTCAGGAGAAATGGATGGATCAAGAGGTAGATAAATACCTTCTCTAGGAACAGATCAAACCAAGATGGAAATGGACCATCATACAATGTGCTTTGGTCGACTCTGTGACTGTGGGAGAGTTAGTATTTGTCCTTCCCTCCCTCAGGCAATGCGAGTCTGAGGATGGTAGCTCCTCTCACTGCCTTCTTCCTCTCATCTTGTGAAGTGGTTGGTCAGCCAGGGATGTGTGAGCAGGACAAGGACAAGGAGGCTGGGCTAAAAAGCACAGGAGCCCCATCTGAAAGATAAGCACCTGGGAGATGAGAAGCTAGACTGTTAGAACCTCCCCTGGTCATAATTACACCCCCTTTAAAAAAAAAAAAACTGTTGTTTTAAGATCATTTTACACCTTACTAGGTGACCCAGATCCTCCCTTACCAACACCCATCACAAACCATAATCACCGACCCTGGCAATCAAATCATCGAGACCCTCCCAAGAAAACTTTGTTGAGGAGGAGGCACAAACAGGGAACTCAGTTTCCTAAATGTCAGCTCTGTGAGCACCACACCCTCCTCTCCGAGGTAGACATTGCAGTTCCCATGCTATCAGTCAAAAGCCAAAAGGTGACCTGGGCAGGGCTCTTTGGAAACATCCCTGAGACTCCTAATAAAACTGGAGGGCAGGAGGGCTGCACTGTCCCTCTCCCCTATGAGAAGACCCACTCTCTCCCTTGAATGTCGCCTTTCCCTCTTTCCTATCCCTTCTAATAAACTCATGTCTGTTACTCTGATTGACATGACTGACATCTCTGTGGCATGATCATATGATCAGGGTTTGAAGAGGCCTCTTCAGCTGCCTCAGCACCACAGCAGTGTATTGCCCTGTAGTAATAGTCTACCATGCTCAGTCTTTCATGTAGACAAATCTCTGCCTGTCTGGATTCAGTGACCCTTAAAAGATTTTAAGGCATTTATTGGCAAAAAGTACACAGCCTTGTAGGACCAGCTCTTGGCAAGAATGAGTAGAAACAGATGGAACTCTACCAGCTCTTGGGGTATAGCTTGGCCGTAGTGGGGGTGGTCCAACAGGGATAATTTAGATTTTAAACACATTTACTGTATAATTCAGCAATTCTACTTCTTGGCAGGTACACTAGAGAAAATGTTAGTCACTTGCTAAGGAAGCGTGTACACGGATGTTTACTGCAGCTCATATGAACTGCAGTAACTCCATGAACTTCCTACGCTCTAGCCTTTCACAGCACTCAGATCTCCTTCTTTGTTGGTCCCTGGCTTGGTGTGCAGGCTTGTTGAATTTGCTGGTCAGGAAGCTCAGTCCTCTCAAAAGGAAGCTGATTTGGTTCCTCGGAGCCTCTGTAAAATTGGATTTCCATAGTCCATCTTTTCACTAAACTTGTTGGGCCATGGGAGAAGTTTGACTTAAACTTGACTTGGGAAAGACTGACCTCTCTTGCAGGGTTTGGTACTTTAGTAGAGTAGGAAGTAGGAAAGGGGAAAAAGGGTTTAAATTAATTTAATTCATTATAAGTGATATTATTGGGTAGTTCCTAATCTCTTCATTCCTTATCTAATTTCTCTATTCCTTTTTTTTTTTTCTTTTTCTTTTTTTGTGGTGCTGTGGATTGAACCCAGGGCCTTGTGCATGCTAGGCAAGCACTCTACCAACTGAGCTATATCTCTAGCCCACCCCACCCCCCTTTTTTAAAATATAAACTTACCCTACATTTTTAAACTACCAGTGAGGCTTCTAATTACCTGCTTTTTGAATTATTAATCAAATATGATTTCAGTGGCTTGTGTTTGACTCAAGCACCACAATAACCACTTTTTTTTTTATGGATTTTTAGTTTCAATTCCTTGCTATAAATCAGCAGGCCACCTTTCCATTCAACCTCTCATAAAGTTCTCTGCAAGCTGTCTAGACAATCGTCTTTCCCCTGGAATCCCTTGGATAGTCACTGATACCAGTCTTTTACCTGAACCCTGGATCTCTTGGATCAGCCTCTTACCCAGAAAGACCTAGAGTCACTGTCTGTCAAAAAAGACGGACCACGTTTGGAGGCCCAGGACATCAAGGCCCATTGCTTGGGAATGAAAAATGACTTTGGCCCCAACTGAGAGTGAAATCTACAACAAAGAACATCTGTATATAGCAGCTGTAGATTCTCATTAGTAGGCATCACATCAAGGACTTTAGATCTATTTAGAGTTGCTTCTCTATTCATGTTTAGAAGAAAACATAAATTTTGAAGATGATAATCTTTATAGCATTTTAAATTTAATTAAGCCCCAACTGCCAGATAAATACATTGTATAAATTTTCAAAATTTTGCCATACATAGGTCAACTATAAATTTGGCTTCAAAAATACAAAATAAATGTAAAGAAGACTTAATTTATTTCTCCTCAAGGAAAGACAAACCTCAAGGAAGTTAATTATAGGATTATATGGCAACTCATCTATGCCCCCAACCGCCAAACATCACCCATGTTCAAACGCAGCCCTTTTTAGTGGGTGTCTGTCATGCCCACAGTCACATTGGGGGTGCTGACTTCCATGCCAGAGCCAGAGCATTTCATCAGCATAGTTCCTTTATTTTAAAACACTTCTTTGGAAGTCCTGCCTAAAGCCTTCCACTTGGTCAGCACATTGGTCAAAAATGAGTCATTCAGGTTCCACTAACTATAAGGAAGCCTTGGAAGGTAAATGAGTTTAAAGTTTCTTCCTTTATATTAGAGGAAAGTAAGGGAGAAGCAGCTGTTGTGATGGTCTTTTATGTCTTCCTTAGTCAGGTTCAGGGAAACGGAACCAATGCAGTAAGCAACATATGAAGTGATTGGGTCACATGGTGATGGAGTCTGACAAGAGTCAGATCCTGCAATTGGCAAGGTGAAGACCCCAGAGAGCTGATGCTCTTGTTCCAGGCAAGGAGAGCAGATTTGAAATTCAGGAAAAGCTCATATTTTAATTTGAGTCTGAAGGTAGGAAAAACAAACACAACAAAACAAAACCCTATTGAAATGAAGTGAAGAAATAAATTATAGGATGGGAGAATATATTTGACAACTATTCATCTGACAAAGAATTCACATGTAGAATATGTGAGGCATTCAAAAACTCACCAATCAAACAACAAGCAATCCAATTAAAAGTGTGCAAATGATCTGAATAGACACTTCTCAGAGAAGAAACACAAATGGATAATAAATCTATATTTATTTATTTTAAAAAGCCCTCAATAGCATCATGGAAATGAAAATGAAGACTATAATGAAGTATCATCTCACCCCTGTCAAAATGACTGTTATCAAAAAGGCAATAACGGATATTGGTGAGTATGTGGAGGAAAGGGAGCCCTATACTCTACTGGTGTAGAGAAGAGTATGAAGTGCAACAGATCTCCCATATGACCCAGCTATTTCACTTCTGGGTACATATTCACAGGTTATGAAATCAGCATAACAAAGAGATAACTGCATACCCATGTTTATCACGACAATATTCACTGACCAAGATAGGGAATCAACCTAGGTGCCCGTCAAAGGTGAATGATAAAGAAAAAGTGGTGTATACACACAATGGAATATTACTCAGTCATAAAAAAGAATATCTTGTCCTTTGCAGTGTAATGGATGGAACTGCAGCATATTATCTTAAATGAATTAAACTAGACACAGACAGACAAGCAATGCATGTTCTCTGTTATATGTGGAAGTTAAAAAAGTTGACCTGAAAGTACGGTAGGAATTACTAGGGATTGAAAAGGAGAGGGAAAATGGATAAAGAATGGCTGGATTTAATCAATTCACATCATATACATGTATTGAAACATCACACCAAAACCCATTAATATACACAATTAATATACATGAATAAAATTTAAAAAAAAATTAAAAACTACATAACCCACCTCAATGCAGTCATGTGGGAGAAGTTCCCTCGCACTCACAGGAGGGTCAAACTTTGGTTCTAGTTAGGCCTTCAACTGATTACATGAGAACCACCCACATTAGGGAGAGCATTCCTCCTTCCTTGTCCACAGATTATCTCCCAAATGTCAAAAACAGACATTTTTCTTTGGGAGCCTACCTAAGACGGGGTCAGGACCCTCTTACCTGTTCTAATCAGGTGATGTATAGCTCTTTCTCCTTCTCACCAACTTGGTAGCCTTTATTTCTTGTCTCAAGAAAAATCTTGGTCAGCTTCCTCCAGTCCACTTCCCTCTTTCCACAGTTCCTCTCCCACTTGATGGCCAACATTCTGAGTCCTGCTTTCCACCCTCCCACAGGCTCATTAGGGGGGAGGTGGGATAGAAGCTGCAACCTACAGGAAGGAAGGAAATAAAAGGGAGAAAACCACAAAGACTATTAGCATCCAAAGGCTTTATGCAGCAGCAGCTGTAAGTCCACAGTTACATTTCCATATGGAGATGCACACTCAGCCTTGCCCTTCGGTGAGTCTGGAATTGTTCAATTCACTTCCTTGCAGAACTTCAGGTCCTACTTCTGGGCCCAAGTGTGCATTCTCCATATTAATCATGATTTTTGCACTAGTCAGTGCTTATTGAGTAAATATTCTAGAGAGTTAGTTCCTTTTTAACTTCTTTGAAATTATTTACTATTGAATTGGTAGAAGTTTCCCAATGACTGTCTTTATAGCACTGCAAATGACCATGAACAGCTTTATTTTAGCAATGGGGAAGATTAGGTATTCAGAAGAGACAAGTGATTTGCCTAATGTCACACAGCAATACCTTTGTGGAATCAAAGAAAGATTTAGACAGCTCCTAGAGCCTATTGTTCCATCTGTTCAGAACACATATGTACACACACACACACACACACATGCATACACATTAAATTTTGCACCTTATACTTAATAATCTTAGGTTAAAAGAATGCACATAAAGGACTGTGCTGGAACACACACATATGAGAAGCATTCACATACTTTATGCATGTAATTTTTGCTGTACTCCCATGTAAACATCTTTGATATTTTGAAGGCTGAAATGCCTTTAATAGAAAAATAGCATTTCCATCCCATTATTAGAGACAAGGGTTTAAATACAGTACAAAGACACCAGAAAATTTTGTGTCTATATATTAACTGCAGGTCTTTTTACTTGGAGAGAAAAAATTTTGAGCTTGTTGAAAGGAAAAAAATAATTTGATCATATTATCAAAATATATGTATATATTATATCACACACACATGAAATGACTGAATCCAAGGTTTCAAGTCACATCTTTAACAAATGCAGAAACACAACGCATTATCCCCGTCACCGACTTTCCTATGGGATACCTTAATTTTGTGGCAGATTCTCTCCTGTTAGGAAGAAGCGAGACTTACAAGTTCACATGATTACTCACGATCAGGATCTCAGGAGGGAGGTCCTGCCTCTGGTGGCATCTAAACTTATCTCTTCAAAGAAGCCTTTGATTGACCTGATTGGGCAGCAGATTGACCTGATTGGGCAGCAGAGCCCTTTGACTGACCCCTTCTTTATCACATTGCATTTAAGAGACTGGTTCACAAAATGAAGCAATGAGGGAAAGACGAAGTGAACAATGTGTCTTTGACATTGACTGACACTCTCACTAGAGTTTGAGTGACATTTTCATTTCTTCCTGGGAAGAGATTTGGATGAAAAACAAACAAAAGCCACACACACAGAAACTCAGACAAACACATGCACACACACACACACACACACACACAGAGAAACTGCAGCAACTGGGAGTTATAAGTTAATAATGCGATAAAAAAGCAAGAGTAAAGCAGCAGCCTAGGAAACATGGGCATATAGAGAAGCAAAGGAGACACCAGGGGAGCCTGCCCTGTGTTCCATACCCTCTGCATTTCACCCTGAGGATGGCACTGTGCCATTTTATTTTACCTAGAAGTAAATAGCCACAGCAAATAAGCACATAGTTTGCATTTCTCGCTTGTTCATTTGCTTGCTTTTTCCCTTGACCCAAATATGTCTACAGTGTGGAAAGCATACTGTCATTGAATAGGTAGCAATAAACAATGCCATGTGTATGCACACACTTGTGGTGTGTGTGTGTGTGTGTGTGTGTGTGTGTTGATGAGTTTGGGGAGAAGCATACACATACATTTAGCTTTTGTTGTGTGACAAATAATCCCAAAAGTCAATGGCTCAATAATAAGTTCTATTTCTTTTTTAACTATTTTTTTTAAAAAAAGGCACACTCATACATTGCTGGTGGGACTGCAAATTGGTGCAGCCAACACGGAAAGCAGTATGGAGATTCCTTGGAAAACTGGGAATGGAAACATCATTTGACCCAGCTATCCCTCTCCTTGGTCTATACCAAAGGACTTAAAAACAGCATACTACAGGGACACAGCCACATCAGTGTTTATAGCAGCACAATTCACAATAGCTAAACTATGGAACCAACCTAGATGCCCTTCAATAGATGAATGGATTAAAAAAAAATGTGGCGTATATACACAATGGGATATTACTCAGCAATAAAAGAGAATAAAATCATGGCATTTGCAGGTAAATGGATGGAGTTAGAGAAGATAATGCTAAGTGAAGTTAGCCAATCCTGGAAAACCAAATGCCGAATGTTTCCTTTGATATAAGAAGGCTGATTCATAGTGGGATAGGGAGAGGGAGCATGGGAGGAATAGACAAACTCTAGACAGGGCAGAGGGGTTGGAGGGGAAAGAAGGGGGCATGGGGTTATTAATGATGGTGGAATGTGATGATCATCATTATCCAAGGTACAGGTATGAAGACATGAATTGGTGTGAATATACTATGTATACAACCAGAGATATGAAAAACTGTGCTCTATATATGTAATAAGAATTGTAATGCATTCCATTGTCATATATAGATAAAAAAAGAAAAAAATTGTATCTTAATTTTTAGAAAAGAAAAAATAATTCTTCTATAGTTACCTGGAGTATATAAAGTACTCTACTGAACACCAAGGATACATTTAAAATATTCATGAATTTTACACAATTTTAGTGAGGAATTACTATATGTCACATGTAATACAGGGGAGCTTGGAGAGGCATCCTGAGGCTGAAGGAGACACAGAGGACTTCCTGCAGGAGGCGATCCTACAGAGCTTTGGAGGATGGGTAGGCACTGGGCAGGGAAGGAGATGATATAGAGGGTGCTCTAGATAAAACAGAAACAGCAGGCATATCTGGAGTAGAAGTGAAGAGTATGTTGGGGTTGGGGTTGGAGCTGTGGTCAGTGGAACACAATGAGAAAAGATACCCTGGAGAGATGGAAGGGCCCAGAACTCAAAGTGAAAGCCACATGGGCTCTCTGAGGTGTTCAAATTTAATCTGATGCAGATGATACCAAGTCACTTAAGAGAAGAGAAGTACAGTAATTAAATTTAAAAAGGAGGTATAGCATATTTCTCCTGAATATTTTCAAGTACAAATTTGTATGCCATATAATATGGTAATTAGATACAGGACTAGAAACTAGATTGCTTTGGCTACAAAATGGCAACGTGGATAAATGACTAGGTTTTCACTTTGGATAGCACAGCCCTGTTGCATGTGTCCTAGATGCCAGCTACACTGCCTTGATAACAACCCAGAGCTGCCCTGCACACAGTAGTGATCAGTTCTTATTCATGATCCTGGGGGTGGATGATTGTGCGATTCTTGGATAAGCTTTCCTTGGTCTTGTTCATGAGGCTGCATGAGCAGGGCAGGGGTGTTGGGCCATCTAGGGGTCTCACAGTTACTGTGGGTTGTTATCTGGTCGTCTCAGTTCCCACGTCGCCTCTCACTCTCTGAAAGGCTGGCCTGGCTTGTGTGCTGGTCATTACACTGTGCCCAAGAGTGTGAAGGTAGAAGCCCAAAGCCATCTGTGACTCAGCTTTGGAAGTCTCCTCATACCACTCTGGCCAACGTCTGCTGGTCAGTACAAGTCATAAGCCAGCACAGTTTCAAAGTGGAGTAAATAGACTCTTAATGAAGGACGTGGTGAAGTCTCATTGAAGCCTGGTATATATGCCGGGATAGGAAGACTAGGGGGTCACATTGTGATCTCTCAGTCCTCCCAGTGTGACCCCGTCACAATTCACATTTCAGGCAAAATGGACATTTGTAAAGCTTCCCTGATTGAGGCTCATGATATCTTAGGCCTCTTCTAGATCTTTCAACCTAGATGTTTTTAAGGTAAGTGCCTAGAATTTTCTATTTATCAGACAACATTGATGTCCAGGAGCCATCAATGCACTGTCTAGTTGTCAGCAATTTAGTAAAGTATATTTGCGAGAATCTCTGCTTTTAATTAAAAAAAATGAATCTTTATCCATCTTAGTTTTTAATCCTTGGCACATCAATTATCCTTGGGGTTAAAGGAGTAAACACGAACATGATTCATCACTTTGTGAAGTTCCAACAAATACCATTTTGTTGTGCTCAGAACCTCTAGTGTGGACCCAGGAATCTGCATATCTGACAATTATTGATTATGTCTACTTGCTAGCTGCACTGGATGTTTTTGCTGGAGATTTCAAGATGAAGAAAACAAGGTTCTTTTTTTTTCGTTTTGAACTCACAGTCTAGTCCTGAGGTGAAATAAAGGTGATTCAATAAAGTACTATGGGAAAAAGAGGTTAACTGGGCCAGAGGTTATCCAGGATGTTAAATCCAGACAACATTTCTGGAGAGCTCACTGTGTGAATTAACTCCCTTAAAGTTATAACCATCCTGTGAGCTCAGTACTAAGGCTATGTATTTTTTGTTGTTGTTTACTATTTGTTTGCTTGTTTACTTTTTACAGCTTAAAAATTTTAAGCTAAACTCAGACCTTAAATAAATTTCCCCAAAATACACATAAAAATAAGAGCTGTAGTCAGACACATTGAGAACCAGAAAGATTTGACAGCAAACTCCTTCTTTTATACTAATTATGCAGATTGAAACAATCCATTCATAATTTGATATCTGTTGAGTTGTGTGTTGCTGCATAATGACTGCAAATTTATTGGCTAAATTTGCTAAACGCAGGTTTAGATATCCCAGATTCCATGGATAAAGAGTTCAGATCCTGTTGAACTACGTCCTCTGGTTCAGGGTCTCACTAGACTCCAGCCAAGGAACTGGCCGGGTGAGCCTCCTACAGAGGCTTGACGGGAAAAGAACTTGCCTGCAAAGTCCCTCAGGTTGTCATTTCTTTGTGGCTACAGAACTATAGAACCAAGAGCTTTGATTTCTTGCTGTCAACTGAAGACTGTCCTCAACTCCCAGAGGCAGCCCAAAGTTCCTTCCCAGGTAGCCCTCTGGAAAGTCCCAGCACAGAA